CTCAGTGGTTAGAGCACTCGCTTTGCAAGTGAGAGACCTGAGTTCAATTCCAGGCAGAGGGCGAAACCTTGGGCAAGTTTCCTTACTCCACACAGAGCCTAATAATAATCCTCCAAAACCAAAAACAATAATAAATTGGTCATTTTCAATCTACGACTGTTTGTGGGACATTGCTGTGCGCAATTGGCTGCCGCGTTCGCCCACAAATATACAGTCAATTCACTTTACAGTGTGTTCTGTGAAGCGCTTTGGGACGTCCTCCCGACGTGAAAAGTGCTATATCAAATGAAAAGATTATTATTATTATAATCTCACATTGAAATTGCACCATGTCATTAATTTCAATACCAGTCACTATTGCCTTTTATTTTTTCATCCAAAAAGGAGTAGCTATATCTGTGCATAAAAGTCGATTTTATACATAATGAAACCAGTACTGTGACAGAACCTGAGCCACACTTTTTGTAAATGTACTGCTGTTCAGTGTTTCAACCTCCTACTCATGGGGGAAGGGAATAGGGATGAGCATCACATGCCACTGAGTTGCATCTCCACTGTGGGAGAGAATCAGAAAGCTAGATGCACCAGGTCAGATTTGTGTGCACTTCCGTGTTACAGAGAGCCATAGGTTTACTTCTATGGTTTACAGTAGTTAATCTGCCTGTCTGAGAAATAGTGGGACCTGCAATGCAGCCTGCAGTAGAGAGGATTGCTTGCAAGAATTCATGCAGTGCAAATAAGACAGTAATTTGGTTTGATTGTCATTAAGAATTTAACCAAGATCCTGGATTATTTTTAACAACTGATCCATGATCTTTATAAACTGAAAAAAAATGCATAATTTATCAAAAATTAATTTTCTTTGTTAACTAAACAATATATTTTTTAAAACATTGTCAAATCCTGCATTGGTTCATTAAAAGTTGCAATATTATTCACAACAACAGCAACCTGCATTTATATAGTGCCCTTCACACAGGGTAGCGTCTTGGAGAGGATAACAAACAGATTCTGTATTATGCATACAGACTAAAGATGGTCACTGTTCAGCCTACTTCCATCAGAAAGAAAGGAACATTGTATGCAAGTAAATAAATGATTGTAATGCTTTTTAAGGAAGTGAGCATACAAACACTTTAATAACATGAATGTGGTTAGCGTAATGTGACACATTCATTCGTCAATGGCAAATTAAAACTGCATCATTGCACACTTGAGCTGATTTTCTGTGATATGTTGATGCGTGAATTGAAAGGAGTAACATTGGTCATCAAGTTTCAATGTAGCTAAAGACTTGGGATTTGACGCTTGCAAACAGCATTGCTTTGGTGAAAGACATATCATATGCATTTCATTAATTTGAATCATTTTCCAAAGAACAATAATTTGTTAGTGTAGCTATTGCAGGGGATCATTGAATTATATTTTTAAAAGATTGTGATTCATTGCATAGTCAGAATGATTGTAGTGTCATGATTAGTGTATATATGGCTTTGAATTCATCTGAGATTAAATTGTTAGTGAATTTGTGCGAACAAAAAGGTCAACGTCTGTAACCTGAATGTAATTTTTTTGGATAGTTTTGAGCTATGAAGGAGAGCAGAAGACAAGAGGGACTAACGCCATTCAGAGACAGGAAAAACTGACAATAATACTCCAGATTGACAGCTATCAATAACCTTTTACCTGGAGTATGCTTATGTGTGCTGGAAACAAGTAACACCCTAATTTTCAAATGAATCCTACAGAGCTTGCATGCTTTTTTTAATGCATTGCTTTAAATTTGGGCACTTTTTAACTTCCCAACACCAACTTGATTTAGTTCCCAGAAATGCCCAGAAACCTTTCAAATAACATGTAGCGTTGCTGGTCACATTGTTTGAGGGATGGGCTTGATTGTGATTTTAAACATAACCTCTTGCCTACAAAAAAAAGTTGTTTGAATATGAAACATCAATTTAATATTGAAGTGATCGTAATCTATTTTATTGCAATAATAATTGAAGTTATCTAAATGACTGTATTGGCATTTATCTGAGTGATTTCTAGATTGTCACATTTTTCAAAAAATAGGCTACAATATAGATTCTGAATTTACAGTAATACGTATAACGGACTTTGTTGTTTTTAACATGAGCCGTTCTGACTATCCCTTTTTATAGGTTTACTGTCTGTAGTTTTAGGGGGTAAAAATAATACAGCCTGCAATTACAGTATGCAATAATGTGTTCACTTTTTTCTGCTGCACCAGTGCAACAATATTTGTTAAATATTAGGTTAAATACAGATGTGAGCACTGTAGGGTACCCCCAAAAATATTTTTATCATGTGAATTCTGAAAAGAGAGCCATTGCTACATTTCTTACATTAGTTTTGTATCCTTTCCATGCTTCTAACTTGGCTGTTAGTTGAACATGGACACGCTTTCATAAATTCCAGGACATTGACATTCCGTACAAAATTGATACTAATTAAACCAGTGGTTTTTAGTATTTTATTACTTGGTTTACAGCCCGAACTCAATCATTTATGCATCCGGTTTTGATGATATGTCAAAACTTTGCTATTGTACATTGATAATATGCATCCAATCTATCAATACAAATTAATGGTGATATTGGGAACTGTAGATTATTATAATAATAATAATAATCCTTGCATTTGATATAGCGCTTTTCACGTCGGGAGGACGTCCCAAAGCGCTTCACAGAACACACTGTAAAGTGAATTGACTATATATTTGTGGGCGAACGCGGCAGCCAATTGCGCACAGCAATGTCCCCACAAACAGTCGTAGATTGAAAATGACCAATTTATTATTGTTTTTGGTTTTGGAGGGACTATTATTAGGCTCTGTGTGGAGTAAGGAAACTTGCCCAAGGTTTCGCCCTCTGCCTGGATTGGGATATAGCATTGACATGGAGGATACTCATCACAGATAGTTTGTGACACATTCATTTAGAAATGTATGTCATAGCAGTCTGATGGTATAACCTTTATAATTTCAATGGCAGCCACTGTAGAGCCCTCAGTGCTACTTTGAATTCCCCAATGAGTTAAATTCACCAGCCTCTTTCATGCTACTCCACTGCCCTATTCTGAATCTTTTTGATTGTTTTTAAAAACAAAGGACAGAAGTGTATCACATTTTACTAAACATGGTGGTGTGCAAGTTCATTCGAAGAGGTAACTTCCTAGTGTGGCTGTTGAACCCTCACATTGCCTTATTGAATATGAAGGAAATCTAATGTGTGTTGCAGGCGATCTTAGAGGAGTTTATTTTCAATGGGGAGGAAAGGGTCCCTAAGGATTAGGATAATGGAAAGAATCAAATGACTTCCCAGCACCTTTATAATGTAATTTTATTAACTAATTTTATGGAGATGTTTAGCAACCAACCTGTTGATTTTTTGTACACAGTATATGGATTTCCTTTGAAGTTCTGGTACTTGTGAGAGCTATCTTCAAGGGGCATAGGGTCCTCCTTTCGTGACTGGACATCTGACGAAGGGCTACTTATATACACACTCTAGTTAGTGCAAACCAAGGGTAAGTGGGGTCAATTAATGGGTTGTTACTGTGTGTTGTGGTGCAGCAAACTTATGTTTTTAAAAGGTTTGAATTAATACTGGTTACACCACAGTCTATTTGGGCTGGAGCACAGCCTGTCAGTACAAGCTGCCTCCACTCTTGTTTCATGAGATGTTGAAGCAGAAAAGTCATATTCTTAGAGAAATTTTAAGACAGCAATTTGTGGTCAGCAAAATGGGGGATTAGCATCATATACTATGTATTAAAAAATAGACAAAATGGGCACAATTGCCCTCACTCCCTTGATATCCCCTCCCTTGGTCCAGCTACTGATCATACTTCCATACGTGGACCCGCAATAACAACAACAAATGACATTTACAACGCGCCTTTCACGTCGGGAGGACGTCCCAAAGCGCTTCACAGAACACACTGTAAAGTGAATTGACTGTATATTTGTGGGCGAATTTGGACTCAAGCAGGGGATTGTGACCAGGAGGAGTGGAGGGCAGGGAGGGTGGGGGCAGGAGTCCCGCTTGAAACATTCCTCTTCGACTGTGCTTACAGCCACGGCCCCCGTCCCCCCGGCTCGGAGTCAGGCTCCACCACTGTAAAGCGCTCGAGACGCTGCCCTGCGTGGAGGGCGCGATGTAAGTGTAAGCTGTTGCTGATGTTGTTGAAAGGACTGTGAGATGGTGTCCTCCGCCCCTCAAAAAATAATAATTCTTGGCCACTGCCCCCCAGGCTCGGCCCACACACCCAGAGAAGCCCCCCCCGTAACCTCAGCGCGCAAGCGCATTGGTGCAGGTGGGTGTGCGCCGAGAGGAGGCGGCTCGCGTGCGTGCATTGAGCGCGCGCGCGCGCGTGCGGATGCGCGCGCGTGCGTGAAATGAGGGAGGGAGGGAACGCGAGCAAGTGCGGGAGGCAGAGAGGGAGGGAGTGCGCATGTGCCGGTGTGAGAGGCTTGGAAGCGGCAAGTGCTGAGTGAGAGAGTGAGTGAGAGAGAGAGAGAGAGAGTCAGTGAGTGAGTGAGAGACACAGAGGGGGAGAGAGAGAGAGGGAGAGAGAGGGAGAAGCCCCGCGCGCCGCCCGCCCGCCCGCCCGCCCGCTCACCCCAGCATTCCCGTCCCACAGCCCCAGCAAACTTTTCACCCTCACTCGCCGCCCGACCGCCCGCCCGCCCGCCTCGCCTGGTCTCCCCGCCCGCCCGCCTGCGCCCGCCCGCCCGCCCGCCCGCCTCAATGCTGGCCGCGGGCCTGCATTGTTTCCTCTGGTGAGGGGGGGGTGGGGGGGCTTTTTATTTTAAGAAAACAACCCCAAATTTTATTTCTCTTTACCTCTTTTTGTCAATGTTTTTATTTTATGTGTGGGATTTTTTTGTGTGTGGTTAAAGCCCCCCTTCCCCTCCTCTCTCTCTCTCCTCACCAGGATTTACTCCCCTCCTCTCTCTCCCCCTCCTCCCTCCCTCCCTCCCTCACACACATACATTTGAGAAATGGAGGGCCCTCGGTGTAGTGGGTTGAAGCAGAGCAGGCGATCCCGGTCTCAGAGGGATAGGGTGAGGAGAAGGGAGGCTGCGAGCCGCAATGCCCGGCCCCACAGCCCTTCCTCGGGCTCGGAGAGGGAAGGCAAAGGCAGGAATACCAGCCCCGGTAAGACGGCAGCCAACCCGGCTTCATCCCGCTCCTGCCGCCCCCCCAGACGCAAGAGAAGGGCATCGAGCTCTCAGGAAGAGGACATCATCGACGGGTTCGCGATCGCCAGCTTCACCACCCTGGAAGCTCTGGAGGTAAGAGAGAGAGGAGCCCTTCCCCTCCGCCTGCAGCACTGGGCTTTATCTTAAAAAAATATTTGGGTTGTGTTTAATTGATGCCACTTGGTATTGACAGCCCAGGCGGGCAGTGCCAGTTTATCTATCCATTGCCTGATCACTGAGAAAGCTCTCAGTGCGCAGATAAGGTAAGCTTATTGTCACGTTGTTGCTGTCCTTGTATGTATGTGTGTTTTTTGTGAAAAAAATCGTCTGTATTCTGCACTGTTGGAAAGCTAAAAGGTTTTATTTTTCAGCAGAATTGCTTTTCTTAAACCTTTGAACCTTCCTCAGTAAGACCTTCAAACCTACTTATTTTTGGTTCATGTCTTGGTCTTGGTGTCCGCCTGGGGTTTTAATTATCTAATACCTTCTTTGAATGAGTCCTTCTGAGTTGGTGATGTATTGGCCATAGATAAAGGTGCCACAGATAAAGAACACTAAAGCCCCCACCAAAAAAAATCATGAGGACATCTCTCATCTTGTTTACAGTTCTGTATTATATTGAAAAATGTGATTTCTCCACATGTTTTAATACAATGACCTCCAAAAATCATGGGAGTGGGCATGGAAATGTCCAGAGATCTGAGTGGAAGAAAGCTGCCAAGTTCTAGTGACATCAGCAGGAAGGTTCAAAGTTTAAAAAATGTTTAAGAATTTATTTTTCACTCCATGTTGTTGCACATAGCATTTAAAGTAACAAAGCTTTTCATTCAATCTAGTTTTATCTGGTATAAAATGTGTGTTCTGTGGAGTTTTCCGACTTGTGGTCTAGTTTTCTTCTTGGTTGTAAAAGAGTGAGTGGTGTGTATTTTTTATTTTAATTGTCGAGGTCTGTCCATGAACTGTCCACTACACGAGTTCCCTGTCTGATTTCAAAATTAAATTGAATATGCTCATGGGTACAGTTTGTGTTGCCTTGAAATTGTATTTAATTGTGTTGTGGACCTGGAACTTTTAAATTCCGAGTTGTCCAAAAAACCCTCCTCTTCCCCCCCGAAATAGCCAAACTCTAAATGTTATTACGATTGGGTGTCAACTTAAACATTTATTTGTGCACTTGTGCCAATGACACCCAGTTGGCCACGACAGAACACAAGACGTTTGACAGGTTACAATGTAAAATCATTTCTATACCTGTATGGTCTCAGAGAAGGCAACTGAGTCATTGGAACTTTATAAACAAATCAGACTGTTTATAAACATTGATGCATGGCCAGTATTGATGGGCTCAATACAACTAGTTAGGTAGTTTTGTTGTTACACGTAACTATTATTATTGTCATCAGTTATTGTTTACCAACATAGATTTAAAAATAAAATAATTCATCCCCTCAATTAACACAATGTGCTGTCTTGTAGCATATGTTTCTTTGACATGACAACATGTCAAAGAAAGCTGGTGTATTGGACATATCTCTTTGGATTTTTTTTATTATTCCAGTTATATGGATGGTATAATGCTGTGCTAGAAATGTCAACAGAAAGGAGCAAATAACAATTTTCAAAATGGTGGATAAACTAGAGAAAATTCTGGTTGTGTAGGCAGCCATTGCGAAAGAAAATAAGAAGGTTATGAGACTTTTTTTCTTCCAGCAGAGAAAGTTAAATATAAACAAAGGGGTTTTTCTTCTGGATATGAGCTGTCACTCAGGAACTCTACCACACTATAATTCTTTGTAGTGATGTGATTGAGCATGCGTTATTCCTGGTGTTAACATGACTATGAACTTGAAGACAGTGCAAAAGTTTTTTTTAAAAAAAATGATTCTGCAGTTTTCTTTCGATTGTCCTTAGATCGCTTGGCATGTGTGGTTTTTGTGATAAGAATTTTGAAAAGGTGTTTTTAGGCAGTATGTGTAAACTATTGAGTGTGTTAAAATGCATTTCAATATCGTGAGACAAGCTTAAAAAGTTATTGTGAAAATTTGACCAGTTCACTATGCTTTCCATTGCTCGTGTATTTTGGTGACTGCCGAACCTGGATTCAGTCTATTACTTACAAATAAATGCCTGTATAGTGCAGTGCCTGCATGTAAACCTCATTGCCATGCCTTCGTAAGTGAAGTGTTAGATTAAAGGGTTTTGAAATGAAAGCTCAAACAGATGATATGACAGCTGTATATTGCCATTCAAATCCGTTCCAATGATGCGGAAAGTTCAAAGTTTACCAATTGTCATAAATATGAACCTTTGTGTGAATTGAGTTTAAAATCGAGCACATGCTTTTCTGTGCTTTTTGAAATCTGCTTGAAATGTTACATGCCATGCAAAACAGGTAGTTATAGTTAGATGTCTAGATAGAACAGTTATGTTTTGGAATAATGTTGCTTTTTTAACAATGCTTTGACCTGTGGAAATTCACTGCCCACCTCGCACTCCTTTGGTGACTTTCAGGTGGTGGCATTATCCTGTGATCTGTGAACCCTGTTCTAAGTAGTTATCGCTGACTAAATGCAGAAAATATAAGAAAAACTCCCAGTGTTGCAGCGTTGTCATTCGGGGGATTTTCAAGTGTACATTCCCCAATGACAGCTAATGAAAAAAACTATTTTAAGCACTTTGGTTGATTGAACTTTAATTTCACCTCAGATTGTGTGTGTGTGCATGTGCTTTTTCTTCACTTTGCTCCGGCTTATTTTGAAAACCTAGTTTAACTCCGCATTACTACCGATGTAATTGATAATGAGTTAATTACAATACTACAGTTTGTGATTTCAGAAGATTACCAAGGTGGTAAAATCTGTGTTCCTAATGACCTACATGTAATGATTTAAAGTAAACCATCAACATTGGTTAGACAGGTCAGTGATGCAGTAGCCATATTTCTATGATAAAAAGTGCGACAATTGTGAAAGCATAAATAGTTTGGTGAGAAAGGAATGTCAACAGTTCATGATCTTGTTTGATCTGCTTAAACCAAGAAAAGAGAATCAATTAAAAAAAATCTTCATTTTGTGGCAGAGTCTCTAATTGCTTTTTGCAATTAAAAATCAAACCTACGCAAATTATCCTCTAGCAGCTCCATAGGTCCATATGTAGTTTGTGTAAGATGTATTTTAATGTTAAATTGAGGTTCTCATTAGTGCTGTGTTTGCATGATCTGTGTTCTTGAACCTGATTATTATTATTATTATTTCAATTGACACTACATTAATGTTTTGGCTGCATCTTGGTTCTGGTGCTTTGCCCTGTACTTTAAACGATATTGAGCACCGTGGATTCAAATAAGCATTTTGAAGAATTAGATAACTGAATAATGGGCTGAGGTATAATCCAGGGATTGTCTTCAAATTATATTGGTTGAAGGATATTATTGGGTAAGTATTACAGGTTTTGGTGCATTTCTGTAATTTTTAAAAAAAAAGCATTGTGTGGAGTTAATATAGGTACTCTTGGTCAAGTGGTAACATTTTATCAAAGGGGTCGGTGTAAAGCGTAACCTGTTATCTCTTAATTTGAAGACCCTGAACATAGTACCCACTTGTAGTGGTCTCTGGGCAAAACATACATGTATTGTCAGTTGTGGAGATACAGTACTGAGTACACTTCTGTAGATTTGTAGTGATGAAAAGTGTACTCTTAAGGTCTGATGTGTCCTTTTGCACAGCTTTTCATCTTAGTTATCAGCTACTGCTGTGTTGATTTTGCTCCGTTGCCATACACAAAAACATCTTGGTCTTGTCCAACAACAGAATTGCCTGTTTGACAGCAGTCTTGGTTTTGTATTCCTAAATCCTCCAAGACAATCATTTGGTCGATTAACAGTCATACTGCAACACAGTAAAATTGAATCTGTGTTTAGAATGCAATCGGGGCATGTAATTTATCATCCATATCCTTAGGACTAAAGTATTTGAATTAAATTATGTACATTACTAATTCATTAAGGTAAATGTTAAGTAACTTTAGGGACCTCTACAAACCAAATACAGTGTTTTAAACAAATTCCTCCTAAACAAATTATCATATACTTGCTTTATGTTATTCAATCTTGCAACAGAAATAGTGACGTCAGTTTTAAAAATATGGTATCTAATTCTGTCTTAAACAGGTTAATCGTGATATGAAAATTCAAGTGTTTGACACTCTCAAATATTACAATGTTTCATTGTAGTCAGGAATTCAGAGTGTTAAACTGCAGAACAACATGGCTGCCTTATGAGTATGAAATTGCCCCACAGGGACTGGGATTAAATACATACAACATTTTGTTACTGGGTGGTTTATGAGGCTGAGTCAAGAGATGCTTTTTTTTAAAAAAAGGCCAAAACATTGTATTCTTTCTCTTGGAGTTAATTAGATATTAACAGAAAACAATTTAAGGCGGCTGGGGGGAAGAAAGACGATACAGAGAAAAGAATGGACAGTACAATACAAAATTACTTTTGTCTAGCCTTTTGGGTTGGGAGGACATCCCAAGGTGCTGGACATTCAGGGCCCGAGTAGAGAGGGTTGGGATCAGGGAGGGTGGCCGAAGGCGCGGTCGAGAGGAGGGTCTTTAGACGTGTCTTGAAGGAGGCAAGGGCGGGAGCGAGGCAAAGGGATTTGGTATGGAGTTCCAAAGGGTGGGGGCAGAGAGACTGAAGTCCCGACTGCTGATGGTGAGGTGGGCCAGGTGGGGAATGTGGAGCTGGCAGCAGCCTGCTGAGCGGAGGGAGCGACAGGTTGACATGGGGTTAGCTGGTCACAGAGGTAGGAAGGAGCAAGGCTGTGGAGGTCCTTGTAGGCGAGGACGAGGATTTTGAACTCTTATCTTCTGGGGGATGGGGAGTCAGTGGAGCCGGGCTGGGTGATGGGTCAAAGAGCCTGGTGTGGGAGAGGACATGAGCTGAAGAGTTCTGCATGATCTGCAGCTTGTGGAGGGAAGAGATAGCAAGGCCGACAAGCAGGGAGTTGGCGTAGTCGAGCCTAGATGTGATAAATGCATGAATGAGGGGTGAGGCAGTGGCGGTGACTACAAATCTTGTCAGATTTGT